ACTCTATTGTTAGTTTATATTGGTGGCTGAATGGGATAATAGAGGAAGACTGGAGTAGAGGTCAAGCCTGTTGCTTAGAGAAGGCTGGGATCCATTGTGTAGCCCTAGTGCAAATGCGAAACTCTGTGAAACACCTAGTGATGTGGCTCAGTGATTCTTAAATCTCATCTCTTCTCCATCTGCTCATCTCATCACACACACACACACACACACACACACACACACACACACACTTTCAGTTCCATAGCTACTTTATGAAACGGCTCAATACCAGGTGTTTGTTTCTGAGGCAGGGACAGTTTCCCATTCTAGATTCACCTTATACCTTGTAGGGAGCTTGCAACTAAATCCAAATTGCTGCTGCATTTGTTTAACAGCATATGAGACAAGGCTCTAAGGGGGAAATTGGTATGAAATCCTTCAAAATGTTCCAAGCATCAGCTTCTCGTGCAGATTAAGTTATATTATCCACACTGTATAAATCTTTTTGGGTAGAATGGGAGCTTTGTAGTAGAAGAACCCTCCATCTTTCATGTAAGTGACTGCAAGCAAATGTTCTGTCATGTGGAAGGTGATGCAACAGGGAGCAATTTAAAACATTATCCTCATGGTGGCTACTTTCCTATACAAAAGCCTTTTAAAAGCACAAGATAGGTGGGTACAGAAACATCCCAGGGATGGGGTACACGTCGTCCTCTGGTTGTTTTGGACTCCAAATCCCATGAGCCCCAGGCAGCAAGATCAATGGCCAGGAATTATAGTTGTTGTTGTAGTCCAACAACAGAGATTCTCCATCCCTCCTTTATCCTACACTCTTTAACAATTGGAATGCTTCTTGTTACTGCTCACGACCACCATTATCTAATTTCCAAATGAATCCATTGGTAGTTTGGGACTCTCACATGAGCTACAATGGCCTATGAGTAGATGATCTGAACTTCTTTCGTTCCTTGTCTGTCAGCTAGGTATATCCATCACAAATCTTTCCTTAACTTTTTGTTTTAACATAAGGTGGTCTTTTAGCCTCCAGATTTGATTCAGGATCTCCTGGGTTTGGCAGATGTATATATGACTTACTGAACCTGACAATTTCGTCTCGCTTTATATTTCTGCAATGTGTTAATCCCTTACCCTTTGCCAGCCTGAGGCTTGCAATAGGGATCTTTGTTTCTAGTGAGCTTTGCTCATCACGGTCTAGGAGTACATTATGTGAACTGGTTCCACAGGTTCCATCTGTGGAGCATGATATTTTAAGGCAAGATGGTGGGGAATCTGTGACCCTCCAGACATTGTTGTACAGCAACCCTCATCAACCCTAGCCAGCATGGTTAATAGTCGGGGTGGTGGCGATTGTAGTCCAGCGATGTCTGGAGGGCCACAAGTTCCCCATCCCGGTTTCAATGGAAACTTTGCCTCTCATATCTACCTACTTCAGATTTGCAATAAGGTCAGCTGTCTTACAAGCATCTGAAAATAAATGATCTGGAAGCAATTTTCTGTACAGACATCAAGAGTGAAATGATTGGCAAACAAACATTTCTTCAAAGCTCTTTCTACGGACTGTTGATAATGAAGACTGAACAATTTGCTATCTGTTTTGAGGTAAACATAAATGTCTTGATCAAAACCTCTGGAGGCGTAAACAGACACAGAAGCAAGATCCTGAATAGCATTGGGGGTGGGTGGGGGAGATGGCATGTAGATGTTATTGACAGCAGAGAGCTGGACATTTCACCATCTGCCTTGAGCTTGACCATCAAAGTAAGAAAAGTATTGGGATAGACCCAGCTATGATCAGTCATTTCCAGGAAACCCTTCCAGCTGATTCTACTGAAGGGCTTTTTGAAATCCACAAGGATGGAATAAATATAAATAAAAATCCAGACTTGAGTTTTGCAAGATTTCCTAGTACTGTCTTCCTGTAAATAAAAACAACATTACAGTTGATGTAATCCTGCAACACAGTTCTAGCAAAGACCTTCATAGCAACGATGTCTGTTAAGCAAATTATTTTTCAATTCTTACACACATTATTTTCAGTGTTTGAACAGGGCTGTTGTCTGTTTTGCACCACATTACTTTCATGTCTGCCATACCTACATCCACAAGTATGTACCTTTCAAACACACAAAGCCACAGAAATTACCAAATGTATAGACTTGTTGAACCCAACCACAAAAGAGTAGACACAAATTTATCTTAGGGCTACAATTTTTGTGTGTGTCTGAATCAGTTATGTGATTATCCTTTGTCCATATATTTTTAATTTTAATTTGTGCTGAAGATCCACACAATCCGTAGCCTACCAAACCACATGCAATCAACCAGCCACGTAAAGCAACCCACCAAGGCCTTCCAATACTGCAAAACATGGCAAATGATATGGCTGGTCATCTGTGCTTTGCTAGTTGGGTAACAATGGTGCAGGTTTGATATGTTTTGTGTGGATGTGCAGCTTACGCAGGCTCTCCAAGTGGCAGCAACCTCCTTTCTCAAGGTGCCCGTCTGCTCCTTACTGATAGAAGTAATTAGGATCAGCATGTGAATGATATGCAAAGGGTAGGGTTACAGAATCATTATGGAAGTTGGAACTTTTTTGGTAGTATTCAGGTGATCTGCTATAAAGGGAGCACAATCAGTAAACAAAGTCAATGAGCATTTTTCACAGGTTTCTGGACAGTTGTGGCACATAAAGTGGAGCGGAGTGGGGCAGAGCAGGAGATGAATGGAGTGTTTTCAGGCTTTTTCAATGGGTTTCAATTATACGTGATTTCATCAACATGAGGAGTGCCTCGGAACGTAAACCCCACGTAAAACGGGGGAGGCCTGTAATAGATTTTGTAGATTACAAGTTAGTGGGATCATGCAGTAAACTCCATGGTTTAAACCATTGCACATCTGTGAAATTTCCCTTAGCATGTTCCTGTTCTGCTATAAATACTTTGCCTGGTTGGTACCAGTTTTTAATAGAAATTAGTCTTGTTACATCATTATAATAGTGTTTAGTATTTTGTACATTTACCCATCCTTTATTAACGTCAAGAAGGTAAAGGGATCATTCTGCACAGAACCATTATTCAGTAATATACATTTTGTTATGGTCGCTTCCCAATTGTATAATGTTGTATAATTCAGTCTCAATGAGATGTTAATAAACAAAATATTATTTGTGATAGAATGTTAATTTTAACTCTGGCTGTTCTCCTGAGCCATGGTAGATTATTAATCTTTTGTTTTTAATCTTTTTCAATTATGGTTATTAATATATTAAGATTGTGACTGATTTGAGTTCAGGATAAGTATCCAGCTGGCTTGTCTTTCCATTGTAAATTGCATTCTGTTTCAAATTGAAGTTACTGCTAATCATTCTTACTTATCTAAGTTTATTTTGTAACCAGATGCTTTGCTGAATAAAAATAGTGTCCATTGGTTGTTTGAAAGAGTTAATTGGGTGGGTCAGCGTTAAGGCAATAGCATCTGCATGCATCATCTTAAGTTCTATATGTCCAAATTTAATTCCAGAAATGTTCTTTGTTGTTTCTGATTGAAATTGCATATGTTTCCAAGAAAAGAGCAAAAAACAGAGGAGCAAGTATTGTGTGCTTTTACCTGGAACTGATGGAAGCTGGGAGCCAAAAGGCAATGCTTTGAAAAGTAAAAATAAAAACTGTTATAAAATATTAGAAAATGACATATTAACGATGACTATTTGGGTAACTACTTTAAAAGTTCAAGCAAACTATGTTTTTCCATTCTAACAAACAAGAGCAAGTTTAGCATCCAAAAAGTAGAAGAAGCTGTTTTGGGAAGACAAATGGAGAGTATGATTGATAAAAGGGTAGAAAAAGCCTGTAATTCACTAACCACTTAAGCTTGTACTGAAGCTGGCTTTAATGCTCTTGAAGACCATAGTGGAAGACAGCTGTCTTAAATTAGAAGCCTAATGCTATCGGCCAGATTTAGCTGCAGAGGTGTGCACAGACGTATACAGCACTTTTGGCCTTGAAAAGGTCCTTGCTATAGATGCACAAATGAATTGATAATTTGGCGCAGGATAACAGATGACCTGCCAACCTTATCTCCATTTGTGTTAAAAAATTACCATAAGTAGCACTTTCATTCCAATGTAGGTAGCCAAGGAATGCACTAATGGAGGGAGTGTAGGCCCTCATTGAGCATGGAAAGTGAAGTGATGTTATACACCTGAAGGGGTTTTCACTTATCCTGTTCTCCTGACAATGTGCATCTCTCAAGCTCCACTCCTGGAATCACGCATGACATCAGCCCCACTTCTGACACATTGAGCATGGATATCTAAAGAGGGAAGCATGCTTACATAGAGTTCTACACACATTGGTTTCCACATGGTCTGGATCCCTGCCACAACCAGGGTTCCACATCATGTGGAAACATATGTACATGGCCTATGCACATGTGCCCTCCTCAGAATATATAGAGTTGGAGTCAAGGAGATGCATCACATTGGGGGTGGTGTCCCCACCTCCTTAATCTCATGGAATGCCCACACATATAATACATGAAGGGGCCTATAGTTGTGGTTAGTTTTAGCTCTTTTGTGATCTTGGGGTTTTGCTATCCTATGTACAGTCCTATACAGCTCTACCCAAAAATAAGATACATTGAATTCAATGGGAATTACCTCCTGGTATATAGGACCATAACATTTGTCCTACTGAAACTGAAGTCACTTTAGTTACCTTGCAATTTTTATTATTATTTCATTGTTAGGTATAACAGATGAAGCACACATGAAACTCTTTAAAGGCACTTTCATGGCAAAATTATATAACTTATAGTGAAAGCTCTACTCATTTTTTGCTGAGAAAGGAATTCCAGACATGAAGACTGAATGCCTAAGAATGCCTTTCTCAAATATGCTGTATGAAAGTTCATAGCTTTAATTCATTTAAAGTTTTTGACGACCAAGTATTGTGTATCTTTAAAATAAGGTTATAACAGCTGTTTTTCTTCTATTTCAGGCACCTGCCCAAACAGCTCATTAATCCAAAGTATACAGAAGTCAGCAGGATTTACCCCACCCCATCTGCCTAATTTAATTCAGTGAACAATAGATCAGCATCCTAGAGCAGTTTCACAAGGTATGACATTGATAAAGCATCATTGGATAAAACTACAAATTTCAATCTGGTATACAGATATCTAAGATTTTGCACTAGAACAGCAGGTTAAAGGCCTTTCCACACTTACCTTTTATAGTGGCATTAGTGGGGAGTGCCAGACACTGCCCATAATTAGTATATTTGTGTTTTTGTAATGGATGAGACTCTAGTCATAGAACTTTTCTCAATTTGGGCTCAACCTGCCATAAATGGAAGGCAAAAAATGCACTAGCTCTCCAGTAATAGGAATATGTAGCCAAAGGAACAGGTGGTCTGCTGAAAATTTACTCTTAAAAATGTCAGATCAAACAGCAACCATACCTTTATAAATGGTAAGTGTGAAAAGGTCCTAAGTCCTACAAGTTGCCTGTTCTTGTACAACTGTGTTAGGGTCACTGGGGAATGAACTGGGAACCTCAAAATTTCTGAAGCTGGGCATCACATTAGAGGTATACTGGGGTGTATAGGTTCTCAGGCCTCAGAGCCCCCCTCAAGTGCATGGGCAGCATTGGCTCCTTCAGTTGGCAGATGCTATGGGGTCTTTTGAGGCCAGGCCTTGTATAAATACTGAGAGCCAAGTCTTGTGACCTTTCAGAGTGGGGTTATATTGCTTGCTGCAGGGGTCAGCAACCTTTTTCAGCCGTCCACCGTCCCTCAGACCTTGGGGGGGCAGACTATATTTTTGGGGGAGGGAAATGAACGAATTCCTATGCCCTGCAAATAACCCAGATATGCATTTTAAATAAAAGCACACATTCTACTCGTGTAAAAATACCAGGCAGGCCCCACAAATAACCCAGAGATGCATTTTAAATAAAAGGACACATTCTACTCATGTAAAAACATGCTGATTCCTGGACCGTCCGCGGGCTGGATTGAGAAGGTCAATTGGTCGCATCCGGCCCCTGGACCTTAGGTTGCCTACCCCTGGTTTGCTGTATCTAAAAGTTGGCTGAACCATCCCAACTTTCCTTTTCTTTTTTGGCAATGTGTGGGCCATGAGGCAAAAAGAAAATGCCCTCAGAGTTTAGGAGTAGGAGACTTAGGTGTGGATGGGGTGGCTTACCTTAATTTTGACAAGGTAGTCAACAGAGGGGCCCCCCATCCCTTTTTACACTTCTTAAAGAGATTTTTAAAAATCCCAAAAACTGTTAGTGGCAGTAAAACTCTCTAAAGCCTCTTGAGTTGTGTTTCCTGGGCCAGAATGCCCATTAAAGCATTGGTTTGTTGTGATTAAACTGTTTTTCCCTGGGGGGAAAAGGATGGTTTCACCCTGGCTTTAAAAAAAATGTAAGTGAAAGGTTCCTTGACCATCTCATCAGGAAACTGTGATATGTCAAACCTGCCATGAGAACGTGTGTGAAATTCACCACCCGAAAGCAATAATTCCATGAGGGAAATGCATTGTAGGTAGCCTACAGAGGTAAAATAAATGCATACTTGAATGCTTTTACCTTTACTACTTGAATGCTAGGGAAATCTTTCTGTTATTGATCGGTTCTTTGAGGCTGTTACACAAAAATGTTAGATGAAACACAACTCCTGGCTTAGCTGATTGGTAAACAACAACAAAAATGTGTTCAGAAGGACCAAATTATTTCACGTTTTCCTGTGTACAGTACATGAAAGCTATTAGATAACGTTTTTGCTGTATTTATTCTGATCTCTTGGCGGCCAGAATGATTGATGGTTACCAAAGTAGCTATCCATTTTGCTGACAATTGCAGTGTTGGTTAAACCCTTGGCATCATTGGCTAGTACTTTTTGCAATTCAGCTACTGTCTTGAGTATTATTAGAAACCATTATTTTGTGAAATACAGTATTTTGTAAAGTACAGTACAAAATGCACATGCAGACATGCAGTACCTTCCAGTGGGAAGGATCCATATATAGACTTCCACAGAAATGTTAAGAGCAGGTCAGCTGGGGGTCTAATGTTGATCCTCTTGTTTGCATTTCTACAGTAATTCATATCAAGTGGAAAGGTGTGCAGCTAGACCATTTGTAGCTAGACCTGTCTTTTACATGTAAAACTGTCCTGCCACTTTACATGGGAATGAATGTTCTCCAGGAACTTGGAAACATCACATTTCTCACAGTTATGTGCTGCTTCTTTCATTCTGAGTAGGATTGTAGCCCTGTTCACAAATTGGGCAAACTGTACAATAAAGGTAGCATGGGTTTGTGCCCACTCCACCCACCACTGAGCCTAGCTCATTTAAATCAGTAGAATATAAAGGGCAATAAATTTGTATTGTACACACTGAGGGCAGATCCATACCATACATTTAAAGCATATTCAACACACATTTAAAACTTGCAACTTTCCCCCAAAGAAACCTGAGAACTGTTGTTTGTTAAAGGTACTGTAAATGTTAGGTCTGTATGAGGGGGGCGGTCTTCAGTTCTCATAACTGTTTGGCGGAAGTCATGTGATTTAAATGTGTGTTTGATTTGCTTTATTTTTTTAAAAAAAATAATTTTTATTAACAGGCCAATCAGATCACATTCATTCCAAATCACATTAGTTCCAAATTACACAGCCAAATTTTTAAAATTTTGTTGGGGGTACCCATACTTCAAGCTCCGAAAGGGATCACTCTTACTGCTGCTTTAATTACACAGTTCTGTCCAGATAGTCTCTTTGTTATTTTCCTCATCTTCTTGTTGTTATCATATATTCCTTTCTTTGTGATCTCTGATAGTCTTCACAAGCGGGTTAAAAACAAACATATCCTGTGTGGATTTTACACTTCCCCAAGAGCCATATCACATAAAGGACAGACGCCATTTCCACACCTCCGTACAAAACATTCCCGCAGTCTGTCCGTTGATTTCCACAGGCCTGCCAGTCTGTCATCAATTTTCTCAGGGGGCCCTGCCAGGTCAAACTCACATTCCGATAACCATGGTCCTCCTCCCCCTCGTCCTCCTGTGGGCAGGCCTGCCGTAACAAATCTCTATTTGCAACTGCGTCACAAAGCTTTCCTTCCTTTCCCGATGTTCCCACAAATCCTCTCTTTGATTAGTAATTTATTTCTACACAGTTCTTAATCTCCTGCTTGTGATCAGTAATTGCAACGATTCTTTCTCTGGGGGGGAGGGTTATTGGGTACTCACATAAGACAAAAAAAGAAAAGTTTTTTCCTCCCCCCCCCTTTTCAGTTTCGCTCCAACATACCAATCTTTTAATGATGAGTCTTCTCTTGGTTTATTGTCCAGCCCGTCGCTCCGCTTCACAGAGATCCCATTAATTAGCAGTCTTTACTCCCGATCTTCACTTGAAGTATGTGCATTTGCTTCTTTTTCTAATTGTTTATTTTGAGCTCTACAACTATCTGCGCAATCAGAGACAGCGTCCGGGAGAGCCGGACCCACACAAGGGTTTTGTGCCTAGTGCCCTCACCCCCTTCTTTCGAATCCGGGGGTGATATATGGCAACAGCAGGCAAGGCAGTGTTCCCCATTCCCTTGGGGTAACAAAGGGAGGCTGCATACTCCCATATCAGCCTCTTAATTACCTCGTGTGAGCCGGAGAGATGGTATTGTCGGCCATCTTCCAATGCGCCCCCTAGCGGCCCCGTGTGTTTGATTTGCTTTAAATGCATAATGTTGGATGTGTTCACAGAGTCTGATTAGGAGAAACCTGAAATGTCTTGCTTGGAAGCTTTCAAGTTGCGATGGGGAGTGAATTTTAGAGGATCCCTAATTTTGAAGGGAGGTGGGCGATTTGTAGGTTGAGCAAAATTATTTGAAAGGTTTAGTGGTGATGGCAGTCTATATCTATCTATATCTATCTATATCTATCTATCTATCATCTATCTATCATCTATCATCTCCTTCCTTCCTTCCGCCACCACAGGCAATAGAGGCAGAGCTCTTCTTCAAAGAGGTGGCAATCAGTAATGGCTGCCATCCCCCCTCCCTCTCTCAAATGCCATGGAACAATTTACACTGTGTATTTTTTTGGTGAGAAGGCAGATCTATTAAGCTGTGCTAAAACATCTGCAGTTGTTACCAATTGTAGCCTCATGAGCTTATGAAAGAATTCCCCCCCCCCAAAAAAACCCCACATCCACCATTTGCTGCCTATGAATGGGATAGAAAAGGGCAGAGTTTAGCTCAGCTCTGTGTGTACAATTGTGACCCCCTCATCTTTGCATCTGGGTGGGGTTAGAATATAGTGGACATGCCCATGAACCAACTTCCTCTGGTAGGGGGACTTTGCATCAGAGAAGCCCCCATTACTGCAGTGGAAAACGCAGCTGATGGAACATTACTGCTGGCAGGGCTTGTTTTTATAGGGAACTCACAGGAACTCAGTTCCAGCACCTCTCAGGTGGGCACAATTGCCATTCTAAGAGAATGAGGGAGCTGTTCATGGTGAGTTTCAGCACCTCTTTTTCTAGAAAAATGGCACTGACTATTGGCAGTGTTTTACTTTCTGTTTGAAACAATTGTCTTCCCTGACTGGCAGCAGCTCTACAAGTTGTCATATACAGAACTTTCTCAGCCCTGTTCCCTGGGGTCCTTTAATCTGGAAACACTGGAGCTTTCTGCATACAAAAAGGGTGCTCTACCACTGCATTGTAGCCTCTCCTCTTAGAGTGTTCTGCTTATCCCAATTGATGCCAATGTTTAACATTTATTCCAGTAATGTAAATATTTGAACTGCAAAGCTTTGCTGTTTGAATATTCCAAATGCAAGTAGAGCATTTCAACCAAATACAAGCTCATAAAAATGTCAGTTTCATTAGAATTTAGAGTCAACATGCACGGTACACAGAAAAGTAAGAATTTTTGTGACCATGATTTCTGCTAGTTTCCAGGAGCAGCCAATGAGGTTGTGCAGACAGATGTAAGCAGCAGGAATAAATGGCCACTGCTAAGTCATGAGTGATGACCAAATGGGTGACGGCTCTGGTACCCATACTGGAAGGAGAAGCAAGATACCAAGGGAAGCAGAGGTTGTATAAAGTCATGGAAGCACATAACTGCTGAGAAGTAGGAAATTTGAGTAAGGGCTGTTGATGTCAACATTGCACTGAGCACTCCTACCAGCTGCACATCAGCATGGTGCTTACTTTTTCCAGCTTCCTTCTGCTTCTACTTTTATCTTGCATCTCCCGCTAGGTAATAGGTTCCTTTCCCTCTTTTGGTTGCCCTCAGCAGCAGCAGGTTATTGCTGTTTCTTAGCTTTTCAGAGCAACACTTGCCAGCTGCTGCTCGGGACAGCTAATTCTCCAGACAACATCCAGAAAGTCTGTTATTGATGTTCATCGCTGGTCTGTTAGCATATCCTCATCATTTGGGTTGGTGGAGATGGCTGTTTCCCATTAATTGACTAGAGGAAAAGAGAAATGATTAACTTAGTTTTAATACACTTCCCAGAAAACGAATATATCTATAACATTTGTCCTGGGACCACACATTTCTTCACAATCTGTTTCTGATACATTTGGGTTTCCTATGAGCAATTTCCAAAAGAAGTAGGCACATTCTCCTTACTCATAGTTGCATTCATGGACTATAATACCCCCCCCCCTTACCATCGAACGCTACACAAAAGATATAGGTAAAATATGTGGCGTTTAAATTCAAAGCTTTATTTTTAGTAGACCATTTGAACTAAATCTGCCACATTGCCATGTTTTTCATTACCTTGCTTGCTTTTTCCATGGCGTTGAGTCCATAATTTCATAAACATAAGGAAACTACAATATTTTGCCTCAGCATTTATAGAAGACATGAGCCATTAATTGTGTGATGCTGTTATTTACCCTTAAGAGTTCAATATATATTGTAACATAGATCAGGTGAGTCAGAATTTGTTTGGGAAGGCATTCTCCATCACAAGTGATGCTCAGGTCAAGTCTCCACCCCCCCCCCAAAGGTACATTTGGAAGAAGGGAAGAGTAAAAAATGGTGAGAAGGGCTCGCTAGGGTCAGCAGTGACCTGCTTGCAATTCAGTTGGGAAGCAAAAGCAGCTGTAGTCCCATGGTCCTAGCAGGAAGTGATGTTTGTGAGCATGCAGTGGAATTTCATTCCAATTAGCAACAGTGGAACTTAGGTCTCCAGTGAACCCTCCCCACCAGCTCTTCAATTTCTCAAGATTAAATATTTTGCTGGGTGGGGGATTGACAGTGAACCAGGGGCACATTTCTCCATTCCTTATTTCTGTTTAAGAAAGCTGAGAAAGAAGGGGTAGTTTTCTTGCGTGGGGGGGGGGGTAGGAACATTAACTGAATCAAGCTGAGGCGAGTTCACTCATTGCTAATATTCAATATCAAATTCTGCTTTCAGGTGATTCATTTGGGTTTTTTGACGCTATGATATTATTAAAATGATACCATTGCAACTATTAGAGGATATAGGACTCCTATAATAGGAGAATGTAAGCAGAGCCTGCTGGATCAGGCCATAAGTCTATCTAGTCTAACATCCTGTTCTCCCAGTGGCCAACCCAATGCCTATGGGAAGCCTGAAAGCTGGACCTGAGCTTGAGAGCACTCTCCCAGCAACAGCCATGCAAAGGCATGCTGCCTCCAACAGTGGAGGCAGAACATAGCCACTGTGGTTAGTAGCCAGTGGTAGCCTTGTCAGCCATGAATCTGTCTGATCATCTTGTAAAGCCATCCAATATGGTGGCTATTGTTACTTCTTGTGGGAGCAAATCCCATAGTATAACTATGGACTGTGTGAATAAATAATTTCTTTTGTCTGTTCCTGAAACTTCCAACATTCAGGTTAATTGAATATCCTTGAATTCTGATACTATAAGAGAGGAAGAAAAACTTTTCTCTGTCTGCTTTATCCACACAGAGGGAACAGCCTAAACTGGGGGGTCTCAGCCAAAAGTACTTATTGTTTTTGTGAATGTGAATGCTCGGCAGCGTCAGACAGCCTGAGGAAAGAACCAAAGGAGTGACATAGTGCTAAGAGCTTTGGAATGCTGGGGGTGGGGAGAGAGAACAACTTTCTGCTGGAGAGACTGGGAAGTGAAGTGAGAGAAAAGAAAGGTGGCTGAGGAGAAGAAAATAAGTTCAATCTAAGTGGAAAGAGAAATCATGATCTTTACACTGATACATACATGTTTTTGTACACATTGCTAGGCTGGAGGACCGCATTGCAAGATTTGGAGCAGTGTGAATTTCAAAGAATGGCCCTGTTTGCACATCATTCTGGAAAGTGTGGACTAGGTAAGTTCACCTTTAAATGTGTACTGAATCAAATGGTTGCCTCATATCTGTTTCCTGCTGACTCTGGTCTTGGCCATGCCTTCATCTGCGTGTTTACGCGGTGCGTGAAAGGACTCTACATGCATACAGTTGTAAGCACATGGAATTTCTCCATATAACGGACCCCATTGGTCCAAGCAGTCCATGTGTAGAGCTTCATCACATACCCCATGCCCAGATGACCGGGCACATCACCACCAGGTGCATGGGCAGAGGAAGATGAAGCTAATATTTGCAGCCCCACAATACCACTCATATATATTTTTCAGGCACATCTGAATTCCCCTTACATGATCTGAAATATACTCAGAGTCGAGAGTGGATTTCATGCTCTTTATTCAGCTCATAGTGGTGAGGAGGAATGGAAGTTCCCCCACAATATCTGCTTTATATACATTATTTACACAATGGGCTGCACGTGATTGGCTAATTCCGGGATTCTCCTGTAGGCCAATCAGGTTGTGGATTCACTTCCACCTGGAGCTAGATTGCGTGGCTCCTGTGGACCAATCATACTGCTGCATTATTATAGGACCAATCAGACTGCTGCATTCTGAATCCTTTTGTTCTAGGACCAATCAGACTGTTGCATTTTGGATCCTATTGTTCTAGGACCAATCAGACTGCTGCATTTTAGATCCTATTCAACTCAGTACATAACATGATCCTTGCTTGGCTTGACCATGTGACCAAAATGTAGTAATCCAAAGCAAGAACGATGCTGCCCCTGTTAATCAGTGACCACAGCAAGCCTCAATGAGAGCCTCTAAACCAAGGGAAGGAGGGCTGGGAAAGTTTACTCTACTTGAGGAAAGGAGGAAAGAATTCAGGCAAGATGGTGGCCCATCCTTTTAAAGGAAGCTAGCACACTCTCCTGAGATTTTGCTAGGCTGCGTGAGATGCAGGGCCCCCAAGATCTTGCAAGAAAATTAAACCCCTCCTATTCAACCATGGTGGCAGCATCAGATGTTGCAGTTGTTGTGAGCAGTATGTTATCATTGTAAGCTAAAACTGAGAAGCATGAAAATGAGTGATTGTGCAGGGGTGTGGTATAGCAATGGATTTATGGGTGTTGATCCCAGTTTAGGACCTAGTGGTTTCCAGTTTGTAACCCTTTGCTTGACACTTGGCTAAGAATTAGTATTTTGTCGAGTGCACCGAATTCTGTTTGCCTCTTCTGCTCAAACTGAGAAAAGTATTACAATGGAAGATGGATTTCCCTGATGGCATATTTTTAGTTGTACAAGTACGAGCCTGAAGCTAAGCCGACCATGATCCAGAGAAATGTTGACACATACCTTATGATAAGGCTTTTTGAGGAACTGGCCTAATCTGTACCTCCTGGACTACTTTACATGCTACCTGACAGACATATGCATATTATGGATGTATTTAAAAGTGTATCACAATAAAATGTTAATCATTCGTGAAATAAAGCTTCAGACATGATAATGAAGCAACAGGAAAAAGAAATAGAAGGAGAAAAAGCTCCAGGATATTCTAATTTGTATAATCAGTGTGGATGTTTCCCAGGATCCAGCCTATTGCTTGTGTGGCAAGGAAAGGAACAGGACTGTAGTTTATTGCCTTGTGACATAGACTTTCCTCATATTTCTAAGAGGAGCCCTGCTTTTTCAGAGTTTGCATGTGCACTTTAGACTTCTAACACAGAGACTTAGAGGAGTCTTTCCTCCCCAACATTCTGGTCACGTTGCCTTCTTCATTAGTCCAGCATTCTTTCATCTTGTACTTCTTGGATTTTTTTGTAAAGAATGTCATGAAGTGACTTGCTAAAAATGCATTAAGGGCCCTTTTAAGGAGATGTTGTGTTATCCCATATTAGGGAATGTACTCCAAGATCCTATTCAGAAAATACATATTTTTCAGATAATAGTTTGCAATGAAATTAATTGCCTGTGCCAATCTACAGTAGAGTGGTTTGTGCATTTGATTTATTTATCACCTAACATTACAGTATCAATGTGACTTGCACTGAAAGCAGGCAAACTTCAATATCAATGTGACATATAAGAAATATAACACAGCTGTACCACTTCAAATGATCACACAGGAAAAAAGCTGCCTACCCCAACAACCTTAAGCATAATTACTAATAAAAAAATTAAATTTAAATTGCCATTTAAATTTCTACTGAGTATTGGTCAGAGATTAAACGTGCTTCATTATGCATCAACACACCTTCAAAGACAAGCAGGTTTCCATTTTGTATGTGATGACGGCATAGAGAGCACAGGAAGAGCAGATGGTTCGTACCTGTTCATCTGCCAAACAAGAAAATTCACATCACCCTCATTAAAGAAATATGTGCCCTTCCAATACAAGGACAATCTGCACATCTCCTGGGTAGGATAGAGTGATGGCTTGATTTTACATAGAGGAACAGGAAGTGAATCAAGCGCAGGGCACTTGAGTCAATGGCTTGTGACTGAAGTGGATTGCTAAGTCTGATGTGAAAAATGGACAGTGAGAGAAGTCTGCAAACTGCTGTCTCTCCATCTCCACACCTTTTCATTCTCCCCCAAATACTGTCACACAGTCCCAGTATCACAGAGTTCCAGTTCAAATGGTTTTTTAAAAGGCAAGCCATATTGGTTACGCCACTCTAGTGAAGTTAAGGTCCTCTAGTGAAGTTTTGTCCTGTAATCTCACAAGGGTGGGAGATCTGATGAAACATAAGCTATACTCAGTTTGATTCTTTTCTGTTATGTCAAGCCACTCCAAATTTCAGAGAGAGCAGGAGATGAACCATATCCCTAATATGAAACTCTTCACATTAGCTCTTCACACAGCTATCACATTTAAAAAAAACTGTTACCATGAAGTCTATCTGGGACCACAGGTGTTTACTTAATTATTTGTTTTATTCAGATAGCATGACCTGCTTTTCAGTTGAAATTACATGCCAAAATAGACTACTATCATGGCCCGCCCAGATAAGGAAGGGACATGTCTGATAGTTAACTCCTTATTGGCAAAAGAAACACAGCAGTTTTCATGTTGTTCCAGATAAACATGCTTACACACTTGTAGCCTCTAGGCACCTGTCCACAGGTCTGGGCCCTATGGAGCAGTTGCAGCAATAGTGGGGTCCCTCCCCTCCTCTGGCTTATATCCCCTCCTTTGGGTTGCATGCCTGCAACCTAAGATGTCTCCTGCACAGAAATGATTACTGCTCTTCCCTCTTCAAGCCCCTTCTGGCTCTAGAAGACAGTGGGCAGAGAAAGGTCGGGACTCTACTGACCTATCGTCCCTCATCTGACCTGTCCCTTCTTCTTCTTCCACCTCCATATCTTGCACACCTTCTTCTGCCTTGGGGTGCCCTGATATTCCCTCCTTCCCTGGATCCTGCCTTGAGGGTGGCGTCACCCCCCCCCTAAATCACTGGTCTCCTCTCCTGGGTCACTGCCCTGGTGCCCTGCCTCCGCCACATGCTCTTCAGAGCCCTGCCCATCCCTGACAACCAATAAAGCCTAAAACAATCCATTTAAAACAACATGGTATCATTGTTCAACTCTGTCCTGCAAGCAAAGAAGTTGACCCAGTGGGGAGTTTCCATCTCCCCTATCAGTTCTGCTAGACTTTGGTTTCTGTGTATGTTTGGTTTCTGTGTTAGAGAGAGAAAGAACAAACCATTAGTACCTCCTCCATGGTAACAGTACAAGTGATAGTGGAGTGGAGTGGGGACTTTTGATCGGCATGCACTAACATGCTGGTTATTGATATGAATCCATAGTTTATTTTTAACAATGGTTTAATTTGATGTACAGACCAGGCCACTGTAAGTTCTTTATAAAAAAGTAGGTTTAAAAAAAGAAGAAGAAAGAAATAGAAAATTTGATATGCTGTATTTAAAGAAGGCAACATAGATAGTAACTTTGGCTACCTAAATATTAAGCCATCCCTTAAGAGACCTATTTTATGAAACAGGTACCTTGTGAAAATATACATTAGAAAGATTTTCTCCAGATGGTAAGTGCAAAATGACCACTCTTCCCAATGCATTTCCCTTGTGATCTATAACCATCAAAGCTACCTCTGACTCATTTTGTTGATTCCATCAACCAAACCAACATCAGCCGGTCACTTAAAATAAGTTTATAAAAGTGTTCAAGGTTCACTCATTGCTGAATCAGGCTATGTTTACAGAACAGGAAACTTTAAAAAATAAATTTGCCTCCATAATTCTACGGAACAAGAACCTAATCAAAAGCAGCCTTACAGCTGGGTGTGTTGCCTGCTTGCCAAGTTCATATTGGCAACAGCTCCTAATAAAATATAAATGCAGTGGTTATCTTTTGTTAGCATGGGAAAGAGACATATCTGAAAGAGGAGCAGCCAGTCACAAAAGTCTTTTAAAATGAATCTGAAATACAGACAGAGCTGGCCCAAGTTACTTTTCTGCTTGAGAATCAAATCCCTTCAGAACAAACATCTGACTAAACATCAGGAAGAATGGATGATTTAGTTGAGAATTCTGCATTGCAGGGGGTTAGACTAGATGACCATTGGAGTCCCTTCCAACTCTACAATTCTATGGTTTTGTGACAAGATGGTGCCCCCATCTTGGGAGAAGAGTGATATTACATCCACATTTTTCTCTAATATCTGTGGCATAGGTTGAGTACATGTAATTTTCTACATGAAGTCCATTTTCTGTCATTTCTCAGACGATGCTGATTGCATGCATTGAAATGACTTTTATGGGGAAAGTGCTTCACCAGCCATGGCAGAGCGCTGCAACAGTGTTGTCAAGTTGATAAATGACTGAAAAAAGGCTTCTTGCAGAGAATCAAATCCCTTCAGAACAGTCCCTTCATTGCCTCATCTCTCTCTTTCTCTTCCTACAGTTGTCTGTGAGCATCTGAAAACATCTGGTTCAGCTCTTATTACAAATTCAACTTCACTGAGCACAAAAAGAACTAAGCAGTTCTTAGCTGCTT